TACTACTACTACTACTACCACCTGCGTTAGACACCCCGAACTCCGAATCCCAATCCCTAAGCGCCAAGACTCCTTGAGAGCCCAACAACCCTAGAACCCCTCCGAAACCCCAAGACTCGAAGCCCGAACCCTCCCCAAAGAGCGCGAGAGACTCTACTCCGAAGCCCAACATCTCAATATCTTGAGTTTCGCTAGACCCTCCAACTACGCTCTGCTATACCTTATAAAGATTCACTATTGATGGCCACAAGATAAACGGGTACTTGGGGGCTCCTGGCAAGGCATGATAAGCCCTGAACCCTACACCCGAGACCTGGAATCCAAACTCCTGAACACGATTCCCTCAACCCGCATGTCTGATCCCAAGCCGTGAACCCGAAACCCTGCGTTCTGAACAAATCCCAGGGGCGATGGGAAAACTGCATGCGTGGCTTCCGGCGTCTGAGCGACTCAAAGCACGCATCTGGGGCAGCATCCCAAATCCGACCTGTAGTCTCCATTGTAGTTCCCTGGTTCGGATAACCAGGCGTAGTTCCAATCCATGGAGTTGGTTAACCGATCACAAAAATGAAACTAGGTTTGGAAGTTCGGATTGGTTAGTGTGTATGTACGGCGCCTTGGTGTTGGCAAGTGTTCATTGGAGTCTCCTTCTGAAGATGCTAGTAATGAAGACCTTACTCATTTCCCCAAGATGCATTACGCAAGCCTTCTCATGCTACTATTGTGGATATTGCCCCCACTCAGTAACACCCCAATATTACTTCTCAAATAGTTGTAAGGTCCTGAATAGGACCCCGAGTATAGACTGTTACTGCATGGGGCCACGTGAAGAATCCTCGCACCGGATCTAGGCTAGATTCCATCCCTATGCGCAGATGACCTCTGCTCGCCCGAAAAGCAAAAGCAACACTCAGGATACGGCCCCATTGAATAACACCTGTAATATCAATAGATATGTATGGCATTTTATAGTAGCCCCTTTATGGACCGGTACTGTATGGGGGCAGTACCCAAGCATGCCCCCAACAACGTTACGAGGATCCTCCTTCTGAAACCTTATCACTACTGGTTCAGAAAACCGGACCCCGCATGCATATTGATACATATTGCAAGGATGTCCAGACAGCAAACTTTGACTCCCAGATGTCTGGGCTCCAACCCTGGAACCCTAAACCCGAGGTGAGGCGCCAGGAATTCTTGGACATCATGGAGGCCTTGAGTTGAAATCATTTGGGTTCAACGCTTGGGGTTCCAGACATGGTACGGTTGGGGGAGGGGGGTGGGGCACTTTTTGAATCGAAGCCCGATACTGGGTTAATATAGTGGCCTTGATAATTAGACTAGGGTTGTGGGGTATATCGTACTATAGTTATAATAAGGAGCACCCACAATGGTATTGGTGATTATTTATACTAGGCCTTGCAACTGTTCAACCTCGAAGCCAGGACTTGAACGTGGGTTTCAACTGTGTCTTTGAGGAAACCGGCTTGCATTCACTACGGTTTGGGCAGTTTACAGGTGCTTTGCAGGTATCAAGCAATCAAGTGAGGGGGTGTGTCCTTTGTCTATGGTCCGAAAGCCCTACTCTAAAGTCTTCTTATCCCTTCAACTCCTGAAACCTACACCCGTAGCTCTGCACCCTGAACCCTGGAGACCTTAAGGGACTATCATAGGGATCCATTCCCCCATTCCCTACTACGCACCAGACAGATAACCGGTTTATGTATCGACAGCCCCCAGGTCTCCATCGTTTACGGCTTAGGGGTTTAAATGTTTTGGGGCTCTAGGGGGTTGCGGTTTTTAGGGGCGCCTGAACCGATATAGGAATCAGCAGGACACCCTAAATCCTAGACCCTCATTCCTTGTAACCCTTATAAACCCTTGCATTACATAACTATATCTTTGACTCAGTCAGTCAGATGGGCGTGATCCCACGCGGAAAGTTTCCCCAGCTGAGCCAGTCCGGGTGTAAGGTTTGAGGACAAGGCCTTATAGTAGTCCCTATAACCCATTCCTCCATTCCCTACCAAGCACCAGACAGTTATTCTGTTACTGGGTTTAGGGTTTAGGGTTCTAAGTATTAGTTAAGGCCCCAAGTAGTTGGTGCTTTCGGGACACGAAACTTTTCGGAAGCCAATGGGATCCCCGAGATCCTGAGACCTCTAAGCCAGGACCCTCCTTGTACGCTTCAATAAAGCTCCAGACCCCCGAAGTGATATGGCTAAGCATTGTGGCCCCGATAATTGTAGTAGATTGTCGTGGAAGCACTAAGGATTCAAAGAGAATAGGTACAGGCACCAATTTCTTCTAGGCCGTGAACCCGCAAGCCTTGCCCTTTCTGAGGGTTACGAGTGGGACGACGGAAGCCCCAGCGTGCTGGAGACGGTCTACAACCTTCTGGCTCCTTCGACACTTTTAGGGTCGAGGGTGTAGGGTTTAGCGTTCAGGGGCTTTAGGGTTTACCCTTGAAGGGCCTTTAGGGTTTTGGGTTTAGGCCTTCAGGGCTAACTTCGGGTTGCAAATTGAGTCAAGCCTTCAAAACTGCCCCTTGCCCTGGACATTGCAACAGGAAACGCTCTAGTAGCGAAGCATTGCAGAGCACCGGTGGAGGTACCTGCTTGGTTTTGCACTCCTCAAGCAACTTTGGCTTGTTTTGGAATCAGTCGGAAGCCAAACAAACACAGAAAGCGCGAAAGAGAGTCTTGCGACACTTGCAGGACCAGGATCGACTCTTAATCCAGAGCTGTTCGTAAATCCTCATCCTGAGCCCTACACCCCAAACCATGAAGGCAACTCGAAATGCGCACCGCAACCAAGGATCGTGACGGCTCTGGTCTCGTCAGAGAAAAGGCGAAGAGCCCTTCTTGGGCGTAGTGTGGGTCCTGGTCCTTGGAGTTTATGGGGTTTGGGGTAAGCCCTAGACATTTTGAACCTGAGTCCCAAGCCTGCAGCTCTGCTCCCTAGCCCCTTCATCCTAGGCCTTCAGCCCTAAATCCCCTACCAAACCCTACACAACGCTCGATTTCCCAGCAAAACCTAAAGAACGCTCGACAACCCTACAAAACCCCGATGACGCTTTTATTTACAACCCCACAAGGCCCTGTACCACCCCTTAAAACAAAAAAAGCTCGGCGCCCTAAAGCCTCAACCTGAGCTCGGCTCTCTCTGCCGTGCAGGATTTCGCCGCTCTGGAAGAGTTCAAGGCCGACGAGTTTCTGGCGCCTTGGGCTCTGAGACTTTAGGAAAAACATAAGGTCTTGATGGGGGTTTAGGAGTTTAAGGTGTGGGGTGTAGAGGTTTAGGGTTTAGGGGTTTAGGAGTTTAGGAGTTTAGGGTTTAGGGTGTGGGGTTTAGGGTTCAGGGTTCAGGCTGTACGGGGGGTGTCACCTCACTCAACGCTCCGATCAACCAGTTCGGAAACCTCACACTCCTGAATCCTTCTACCGTAACTGCTACGGTAACTGCTACGGTGAGCAGGCATCCAAAGCTTGAAAGCCAGAACCTTTGAGCCCACACACCCTAAAACCGATTCTCCGCCCCTGCCATTGAGGCTCCTACGTACACCCCAAACCCTAAACCCTAAACCCTATACCCTAAACCCTAAACCCTAAACCCCTAAACCCTTCGACCCAAAATCCCCAATTCCAAAACGGAACTAGGACTCCATGTCGCGCGTGGGACGGGCGCTGCTGAAGTTCCCACAGGCGGTGTTGGAAGTCAGCTGTCCCACGGGGTTTTAGGGTTTAGAATTTAGGGTTTAGGGTTTAAAGTCTAGGGTTTAGGGTTTAGGGTTTTGGGGTTTAGAATTTAGGGTTTAGGGTTTAAAGTCTAGGGTTTAGGGTTTAGGGGTTACTACCCTACAAGCCTCAGGGTGTGGGCCCTAAGTCCGAAATTCCAAAGACTTGAAACTTACACCCGAGGAACCTACCTCTTGAAGGAGCTATGTAAAGAAATGATGACCGAAACAGGTTGCATTTTTAGGGTTATGGTGAAGTTCAGGGTTTAGGGTTTACAGTTTAGGGTTTAGGGCCTGGCAGCCTAAGCGGTTTCAGGGGGCTTCGGAGTAGTTTGGGCTTCAGGGCTGCACACGGACCTATCATCGACAACAGGAATCAGTTTACTGGGGTGTGCTTTGGGCAGCATTCGATTCACTCTTGGACGTGGCTGGACAGCGCGGCCCCGAGACCTAAACGAAGCAAGGACTAACCGCACCGTGTCAACCAAGAAGCCCTTGAACAGCTTTTAGACGACTTTAGAAACCTTCCAAGGCTTCGAATCCTTTAGGCAGTCCCAGATGGCCCGAAGAAGCCCTCAAAAACCCGGTGACAGCCCGAAATCCTCCGCAGCATCGCATCTGAAGCCCTCGCCAGGAGAGACCTAGCCGGCTCGCGAAGATGAGCCTTGGCCGGCTTGAGGAATGTGGGCCCCCTGATGAATCGGTATCCCAGAGGGTCCGAGTACCCAAATAGTAAGGTCTTAGGTCCCAAAATCCATACTCTGAGTGGTTTTTGAAACCCTACTCTTTGGGTACTTGGACCCTTAGGGTATTGTATATTGGGAGGGATTCTAATCTTGGGTTGATTAGAAAGGGTTTTAGTTGATCAGGGTGTAGAGGGGTGTAGACCCCGAACTCAGAAGGATTTATCTAATGGGACGGATCCGAATCTTGGGTTGATTCGAAACGGAAAGGGGTGTGATTAATCGGGGGGTAGAGGGCGGGAATACACAAAGGCCTTCCAAAGACCCTTTAAGGGAACCCTTCAAGGGGACCCTGCAGACGAACTCCAGAAGGAAACCCTAAGCCCTAAACACCCCAAAAGGCCCCGAAAAGCCATCGGAGACTGCCGAGGAGCCTCGATCTCCGCTTTCCGGCGAAGGACCAGGAGGATCGAGGCGGAGCCCCAAGGGAACCCTGAAGGGAACCCCAAGGGCTACCAGAAGGTTTTAAGTTTTAAGGAAACCCTTAAAAGAAACCCTTACTGGAACCGTAAGGGTTACCAGAAGGTTTTAAGGAAACCCTTAAGGGAACCCTTAAAGGAACCCTAAGTGCAGAAGTGCCGCGACCGTGTCTGTCAGAAGCAGTTAATTAGCCTGAGAAGCGAGTCGGGCTGGGCATGTTTTTGTCTCGAACTGCAGGGAAGGCTGCGGTAGGAAAGCCCTTGTGCCATGTACACGAGAGTTAAGGCACTTGGCATAGGCTCAATCTCACAAATGCCGTAGCGCATGTTTGGAGAGAGCACTTGTCTGTTTGAGTTCGAAAAAGACCGATGTGCGGGTAGTTGCCATGGCTTCTTTGTCTGCAGATGAGGGAACAGGTGATGTAAATCCTGCTTTGCAGGTTATGAGCCCAAGTGCTCAGCTTGCGGCTCCGCAAATGATGAATGGTGGCGATCCGCTTGGGCCAAGTGGGGGCCCGGGGGAGGAAACCGCAGCACAGTGCTCAGGTCTGGGATTGCCTTCCAGATCTGAACATGTGCAAAAAGAAGGACGTGGTGGAGGAGGCAATAGTAGCGGTACCACTGCAGATGAAGGTGCAGAGTTGGTGCCGACGGCTTCTACCTCGGCCACGAAGACGCAAGTTGCTGTGGATCGTAAGGATCCAGATCTTGATCCGCCTCTGTTTCAGGGAGAAGGACCTCGCGCTAAGACAAGTGGCCAAGCTGCTGCAAGCGGAGGTGGTTCAGCTGGGCAAAGTGGAAGCAGATCTGGGGAAGCGACGACACAGGCGGCTAGCGGAGATACAAGTCAGGGAGGATTTTTAACTCCCAGATCTTATTCAGCTCAAGGAGCTCGAGGCGCTGAGGTGGCTCCGACTGCAGGACCTGGTAATCTGACCACGTGGATGTCACGCCTGGGAGGGTTGTTCAAAGCCCCAACAGTGAGCTGTATGCCGAGCCCGCTGCCTTCTCCACCAAGACCTCGGCGTGAAGCGCAGCAAGAGGGTTTTGCCCCGGGAGAGAGCGCTATGATGAGTACAGTGGCGGCGAGTGGAGATCAGCAAAGAGATTGGGGTATGTTTACAAGAGAACCTCTACCAAGACATACAAATACCCCAAGCAGCAGTGATCTACCCGCAGAAGCAATACAAGCAGAGGTACAAAGACAGTTGGGTAGTTTGCTTACAAGATTGGAATATGTGGAAGGAGAAAACGCCAAACTTCATGAGCAGTTACAGCGAACCAAAGATTCAGGATGCAATCATGAAGAACCGCGACCTATGCTACAAACTCCAGACGTATCCCGCCGAGCAGGAGACAAACTATCTCAAGGAGCTGCAGTACGCCAAGGTGAACCAGATCCCCTACCACAGCCACGCGCTAATCCATGGCGAGATCCGCTAGGGGCGTTATGGGATGAGTTGGCAGCGAGGAGAGAAGGTCCTCAGAGTTCTGGGGAAGCATGTGGACAGGAGCCTTCTAGAGAGCCAGCTCAGGCTGCGGAAGGAAGTTCTACTACGGCGATGCTGGAAGCCCTCACTAAAAGTATGACGCAGCTGCAGGAGATGCAAACCAAAAGCCTGAAGAAGGGTCTGGAGGAAGAAGGAACGGAGACGGTGAAGTCTACCATTGCTCCATTACCTTTGCTGGCAGCCCCAGAGGGAAACGCTACCGGCATTGTGCTACAGGATTGGATAGCTCAGCTGGCGATCTCCATGCAGGACCTTTCTCCGTCGTCGGGTACCTGGTGGGAACAAGTTATGGCGAAGGTTCAGGAAGCCTACGGGAAGTGGCTTGGCTCAACCCCGCTGGAGCGACTACAACTACAGCCTCAAGGTTTTTCTCAGCTAGCTGAAGGGCGCTGGACTCGTGTGAATGCCAGAGCTTGTTCACTCCTGTTGCAGAGCTTCGTGGACTCTATCCGGCAGGACCTGATCGCAAGGAGGGTGGTTCAGAACGCGGTGCTCATAATGTTCCGCCTTCATACAACGTACCAGCCGGGAGGAGCTTCAGAGAAGGGGATTGTCCTCGCAAACTTGCAAACGAGTGCCCAGTTGGACACCCTGGAGGAGGCTCTCTCGTGGTTGAGATCTTGGCCGAGATGGGTTCAGCGATGTTTAGATCTACATATGTTGTGCCCAGATGGAACAGTGCTTGCAAGGACCTTGACTTCGGCAACTTCGCGATTTATAGCAGAGAACAGTGACTCCCAGTTCCGTACACAGCTGCTGAGGTCTACGTTGAGGATAGATGGCCAGCCGAGTCTAGAGGATGTCCGTCGCTACCATCAGCATCTGCAAGCGGAGCTGGGGTCCATGGCAGTGAGTAAGCATGTTACAGCTCCTCTTCCGAAGATTAAGGCGCTAACAGGAGCTCAGCCCCAGCAGCAGCAGCCAGCGCTGGCAGCGGGCGCAGGAGGAGCGACGCCATCGCAGAAGCAGCCCTGCCGATACTTTTACAAATCGGGAGGTTGCAGACGAGGAGCCAAATGCCCATATTCACACGACACCGCAGCGCTTTCCAAACAGGAGCGGTCAAGGAAGTGCCTTTCCTGCGGAGCAGAGGACCATCGTCAAAAGGACTGTCCCACGAAAGCGCCCCGATCACCTACGAGGCCTACGTCATCTTCTACAACCACGCGAAGCCCGCAGGCGCCCCAGGCGCCAACAGCGCCCAAGCCTACAATACAGAGGGCGGAGCCGGAGGGTGAGGTCTCTCCAAGTGGATCGGGACAAGCAGGTGTAGTCACCGGGGAGCCAGTTTGGACGTTGGAGTCGCTGTTGCAAGCGGCAGCTAAAGTCGCCGGGGCTAAGCCCAGCGATGGAGGACCATCTCTGCCGGTTCTATCTCTTCAGCGAAAGGTGCATGTGGATGGAACAGATGGAACGTATGCTCTAGTGGACTCTGGAGCTACGCATGCACTTCGAAGGGCAAGATCAGACTTAGAATGGCAAGAATCTTCTCCGGTTACGGTTAACCTGGCTGGAGGTGAGTCTGTGGCGCTTCGGATGAACCACGCCGGTACCATTCTAGTGCCAAGGACTGGGGATACTTCGTCATCGTCGTTGCCCATAGTTCCGTTGGGGGCGCTGGTAGAGCAGCTGGGATATACGATGACCTGGAATGCTAAAAGATGCAAGCTTGAAGGACGACATGGTGAAGTGTTTCAGCTTAAAGTGCGTGAAGGGTGTCCGCAGATAACAGAAAGCGATGCGTTGACATTGATTTCCAGGCTGGAAGACAATCACCTCAAGCAGCTGAAGGAGAACGTCAAGGCAACTAAGCATCGAGTGCGAGCAGCAGCTTTGTCAATGGAAAAAACCTGGATCGACTATCTGCTTGCTTATGTGGATGGGGGAATATCTTCGTAGGCGCTACAGGCGATTGAGAAAGCCCCGTTCTTCAGCGAGGTTCCAGAATGTCTCCGAGGTCTAGTGGAAGCAGTACCTGAAGGGAATGGATGGGAAGCTCTAAAGGGACTGGAGCACCTGAACCGCAAGGCGAGAAAAAAGTTGTGGACGTCAACTAAATGGGCAGTGCACAAGTTTGCGGGTGTAAAAGAGAAAAAGGAGTTCAAGTATTTAGAGGCCCACGGCTACACGATCCTGGAGCTGGACATTGAACGAGGAAAGACTCAAGATGTGGTCGCGCCTAAAGTTTGGAAAGCTTTGGAACGGGGTGCTCGAACTGGACGAATTGGGGCGATCTTTGGGGGTCCACCTCAGAACTCCTTCATGATCTCCAGGCATGTTCCTGGAGGACCAGAGCCTTTGCGAAGCAATGATTTCATCTATGGAAACTGGTCTGGGCAATCTGCAAAAGATGTAGCGGAAGTCAACAAACATACAGCTCTTTTCTGCAGGATGATATATTTACATGCGCTGTCTACGGCAGGAAGAGTTAAAGGCGGAGGAGACCCAGAGTCAGTGCGTGAAGTGGGCTTTGTGCTGGAGCAGCCGAGGGACCCTCGAGGCTATCTCAAATATGGAGATCCGCTATATCCCGATGTGGTTAGCTTCTGGAGGACCTCGTTGTGGACAGAGTATGCGCTAGAAGCTGGACTTCATGTTTATAGCTTCGACATGGCAGCGTTTGGGAAGGCGTTTACAAGACATACCTCAATAGGTACCAATTTGGCTTTGAGACATGTCAATGGTCTTCGTCTTAGAGCTCATCTGGATGGACCACTACCAGAAAAAAACCCAGCATGTGTATGGCCGACTGAGTTCATCGAGCAGGTCGTCGTTGCCCTTAGAAGTTGGGGAATGGTGCCCAGGATGCTCCGGATGAGTGCCGAGCAGTGGAGAGATCATGTACGAAGAGGGCACCTTCCATATAGAGCGGGCTGTACTGTATGCGTACAAGCAGGAGCTACCGGGAGACGCCATGCCCGTATTGAGCATCCTTCGGCCTTCGTTTTGTCGTCAGACCTTTCTGGGGCAGTTAAAGTGGGAGGAGTTGATCCAGATGGACGGGGTGCCTTTCCAAAGCGCTGCGACCTTTGGAGCAAAGGTTATGGTGCAAAAGAAGCAAATGGAAGGCCCCAAGCTGGATGACTTAGCACCTAGGTGGATGAGTGGTTTCTACGTGGGAAGATCGGAAAGCCTATCCAAAGGACATCTGGTCTACGTCAAGGACGATGATGGGGAAAAGTTTGTCCATACTCTACATGTTCGTGCTGGACTTCGAGAACCCGTGACTGTGGAGGATGCGTTTGTTGCGGAAGAGCCTCCAGGACCTGAGCGCCGAGTCAGAGGAAAGTCGGCGGGTTCCGGCGATGTTGTCGGAGTGGCCAAGGTAAATTTCGTCGTCAACGAGGACCTCAGGAGGAGAGCGGAAGCCGTTCTGGAGCAGTGGTCCCAGGAGGAGGCGGAGGATATCGTAAAGGTTGTGGGCATGCATTGTTCAGTTACGGACAACAAGTACGGCATGTTCAGACATGGAGGTAAGGTTGGTATTACCAAGGCTACTGTGGAGCGCCCGTGGCTTGCAAGAGTGTTGGTGAAGCTTTTGAGAAACAAGATCCCGGAGGCTGAGTTTGCGTCGGTGTTCGTCTCAGTAAAGAATGAACGCGAGGTTCACATTGACAGAAACAATGCCATGGGGACGTTCAATTATTTACTGCCTCTAAAGGTGCCAAAAAGGGGTGGAGAAATTTGGCAGGAGCTACGTCATGGAGATGTGGTTTCTGGAAACATAGTGGAGCTGACATCGCAAGACGACAAGTCCCGCTACGGATGTTCCTACCCCCTTCAAGAAGGCCAAGTCTTTATCTTGAACCCTCATCGACGACACGCCGTACTGCCGTGGCAAGGCGAAAGACTGGTGTTGGTCGGGTATACTCCTGGTGTATTGCAGAATCTTGCAAGAACAGACAGGGAAACACTGTGGAGTTTGGGATTTCCGTTGCCCTTGGTTGAGGAAGAGGGACCAGCAAATGTGAGTATTAACATGCTGAAATTTGCGGGAATGAATGTGCCAGAGGACAGCGAACTCATCACCCAGGAGGAGCCATCAAAAAGAAGCAGAATATCCAGGGTGAGGGGAACAAGGTCCTTTGGAAGCGCTTTACAACCGGAGTCTGAGCGGGATGAGGTGAAGATAGAGGAGTGGATTGCCAGTGAAATGAGAGTGGTTATCCCTGAGCAGGAAGCTGAAGCCGTGGCGTTAGAGGAACAAGGCTTTCTGGAGCCAAGAGTCTATAAGGCGGAGATCGGCTACACCCATGGGATCGAGGAGATTTTCAAAGGCCTGGACTCTCCACTGTCCGTGGTACATACAATTCACCCTAGCGAAGTCGCAGCATGCTTTCAGGAGTGGGTGCCGGCTTTGACCAAGGAAGTTTCTTCATTGGACCACGCGGTGGAAAAGTACCACATGGAAGATCCTCAAGTTCGTGAAGACATCCGGGACAAGGGAATTCCTATGAAAATAATATATACGGTCAAGCCACCAGATCCTCTTCCAGAAGGCCAGCAGTACGACAAGTTCTACAAGAGGAAAACTAGAATTGTTGTGTGTGGCAATCTGGCCGCCACCAATGAGCCGGGTGACGTTTACACCAATACAGCTCCGGCAGAGGTTGTGCGAGCGGCAATAGCTCTGGCACAGCACTTCAAGTGGAACCTCGGCATCATTGACGTAATAGCAGCTTGTCTTCAGACGCCGTTGAAGGAAGTCGCGGGAGCCCCTTTGGTATATGGTGTGCCGCCGAAGAGCCTTGTGAGAGCTGGGTTGTGTAAGCCAGGGGAAGTTTGGAAACTTACCCATGCCGTATATGGTCTGGCCGAATCACCGCGACTATGGGGAGTTTATCGTGATGCTAGACTGGCAACTATCAGTCTGATCTATGAGGGCAAGCGAATTACATTGATGCAAGGCAAAGTGGAGCCTTCATGGTGGCGGGTTCTACAGGAAGGATCAGTCTTGGTGGGAATTGTGGTTATTTATGTGGATGATGTTCTTATCTGTGGCCAAGTAGAAATGATCAAGGAGCTGACGGCCGCTATTCAGCAGATCTGGAAAACAAGCGGTTTGCAATTGGTCAGCAAAGGTACAATACGCTTTTTGGGCATAGAAATCTCGTCAACTGGTCAGGGGTTTGCACTGGCACAAAAATCCTATATAGCAGAATTGACAAGGATTCACCAGCTGGGTGAGCGCCGCCGTGACCTAATCCCGGTCACAAAAGACCAGGCCTCTTTCGCTGCTCAAGATGGCGAAGGGGACTATGGACCAGAGGAGCTAAAGGGGGCTCAACAATGTGCAGGTGAAATATTGTGGGTCAGGACCAGACTTGGGATACGTCGCGTCCCTTGTGAGCTCGTTAGCCACACGAGCCCCTCGGAGATCTATTGAGATCGCCCAGAAAACGTTCGCCTTCCTGAAAAGAACAGAAGCCTACAGCTTGATATTTCAAGGAGACAGCTCGGGACTTACAGCTTTCTCGGATGCGAGCTTCGCACCGGAGGGACAGAAGTCCCGCACGGGATGGATTATAGAGCTACACGGATGTGCAATCAGCTGGAATCAGGGCGCCAATCTATGATAACATTAAGTACCGCAGAAGCGGAGTTATTAGCGGCATCGGAAGCCGTCCTGGCTTTTCAGAGCGTGAACTCCATGCTGCAGGATATGTGCAAAGATGGCTTCGATATGGCGCTGTACTCCGACTCAACATCGGCACTTTCGATAGCAAATGGATCAGGAAGCTGGAGAACGAGACATCTCAGATTGAGGAGTGCATGGCTGTGTGAGATGATACAGACTCAGAGCATTACAGTTCACCATTGTGCCGGAGATGTACAGCCAGCGGATCTATTAACCAAGGCTTTGGCATCGCAAAGAATGAAGATGTTGAGCAGGTTGCTAAACTTGAGGCCAATAGAGGATGAAGAGCCGGAGGCTGAGATTAACGCATCCCGGGCTTCAACAGGCAATCGAGTTCCACAACTATTGATTGCTTTGGTGTTATCTCAGGCGGTCGTGGCAGATTCCTTTGACTGGGAACAAGAGGATGCGATTGTGGTCAGATCTACACTGGCAGTCGACTATGGCGTGGTGACCTGGGCAATACTCTGGACTCTGGTGATCCTGGGCTTGGTTTTTTGGGAGATCTTAAAGTGGCTGGTTTGGCTGGCTTATGACAGAGCAACCCCAGGAGCCAAAGGACGTCGAGTAAAAAGATTACAAAAGCTACGCGACGCAACTACACAGGCGATCCAAAAAGAGATAGAGGTCCGGTCAGGGGTGAGACATGAGCAAAGAGCAAGGGATGCGAGAGTGCAGCCAAGTGCCCAACAACCTGATCCCCCTCGAGTACCTCCAGTTGATGTTCACGCAGAAGAAAGAATAAGGCTGCTTCGGAGCTTAGCAGCTGGAGCTAAGGAAAAGAAAGAAGTCGGGATTCAGGCAGGAGCATTCACTCCGTGTCCAACACCGGAAACCAGAGTTATCCTGCGTTATGTTCATGAGCCGCCAGAAGACGCCTATGTCATTCCGAACAATGAGTGTTATCATGTCTATGACGACTGTCATGCCTTTCGGCATCCTGGAACGTTGGACAGGGTAGAAAGACGGCGTATTTGCCAGTACTGCATGAGCAGGGCATCGACAGATCCGGATAAATCAGTGGACTATGGTCGCGACTTAGAAAGAGCCATGGAGTATGAGAGGGTGTTCAACACTCAGCTTCGAACTTCTGGCCAAAGCAACGCTCAGATGAGTTAGCCTAACGGCAAGCTCAAGGAGGAGTGCAGAAGTGCCGCGACCGTGTCTGTCAGAAGCAGTTAATTAGCCTGAGAAGCGAGTCGGGCTGGGCATGTTTTTGTCTCGAACTGCAGGGAAGGCTGCGGTAGGAAAGCCCTTGTGCCATGTACACGAGAGTTAAGGCACTTGGCATAGGCTCAATCTCACAAATGCCGTAGCGCATGTTTGGAGAGAGCACTTGTCTGTTTGAGTTCGAAAAAGACCGATGCCATGGCTTCTTTGTCTGCAGATGAGGGAGCAGGTGATGTAAATCCTGCTTTGCACTAAGGGTTACTAGGTTTTGGGGTTCCTTTGAGGCTTACTCTCAGGCTTTGGCGGTTCCTGTAAGGGTTTGGAGGTTTAGGGTTCAGAGTTCAGGGTTAGGCGTGTTCATGAGGAGTGTAAAGCTGCTGAGGTTTTCTGTGGTTTTGAAGAGGGTTCGATGGGGTGTTGTTGCAGGGTTTTGCTGTAGGGTTTACCAGGGCTTTGTTCTTCACAATCCTTTACAGGCTGCTGTTACAGGGCGTTACAGTGTTTTTCAGTGGTGTCTTGTAAGCGTCGTTTTGTGCAGGGTGTTGGGTGTCTTTGGGTGTGTTCTTCCTTCGAGTGCAGCCCTAGGGGTATGTTTAGGTCCATGGGCTCTTGGGGAGGGGGAACCCTCGCAACTCTGAGCAGGGGTGGGGGGGTTTAGGCCTCTGACTTCCAGGCATCGGGCGAGCGTCCTTTGTCGAGGCTTGGCAGGCCGCGTCGGGAAGCAGATTCGGATGACTCAGAATGTTGTTGATGTTTTGGGCTGCTTGCTAACAGCACCCTAAACCTAAAGCCTTGAAGCCCGTAAACCTTAAACTTGCAACCCCCACAGCTTGCACTGCAAGCCTCACGCCTCATCCCTAAGGCAGAGTTCGACAGCCTCGGATTACTGTTCTGTCTGTGTGCGTGCGGGTGCCTGCGGATAGGCTCTTCAGGTTGTGGGTTTGGGGTTGACCCTCTGCTACTGCTATTGCTACCCGCTCAATCAAGATTCCATAGCCTGAGGCCGGACCAGGCTAGGGGACGTGACTCCCCTTTCTGAAGGAATAGAGAGTTGCGTCGCAGGGTTTGAGGGTTGAGGGTCTTATAAGGTTAGGTCTAGAAATCGGAGAAAGAACGGCGAACAAGGCGACAACGACGACAGTTGTGATGGTGAATGCGGTTTTGATGCTGTTGACGGTGATGGTGAGGGCGCGGACGAGAGCGATGACGACGATGACGATGATTACTACGACTATGCCGATGATACTGCCGCTGATGATGACGATGATGACGACGATGCGAACGGTGGCCAGCAAACTGTTTGTGTACTCCTCTTGCAGGACATGGGCTCTCGTGCGCATGCTGCCGACGCGAAAATCGTGTTCGGTTTCTTGGCTCGGGTATGTTTTCAAGCAGATATGCTTCGAAGTTTGGGCCATCGTGTGCCTAAGAAGTCTTATGGGCTGCCATGTTCTGGGCTACGGCGCTCCTTCGGCCGGGGTTGTACCAGATAAGGTCCGATCTTCCGAGAGGTCTTATGATGATAAACCGTCAAAGCGGGCTAACGCTCGTCGGGCAAACGCTTCGAAGTTGGGAGCCTTCCCTATTGCAGCGCATTGCAACACTGCGATGTATGGGGGAGGGAGTGATCCTCACACAGAAACAAGCGCTCCGTGTTCGCGTGAACCAGAAGCAGTCCCGAGCCATGTGCACAGGGACATTGTAAGCCCCTTATCGACGCTACGGAATGGCACGCAATCCTTTTTTCCCCTGAACCTCAAAGCATCCCAAAGCCCAAGGACGCAAGCTTCTCAGCCTCTGGAATCCCTGCAGCAAGCCTAACGACTTAATGTTCGTCGGGTAGTGATGAGCCCAGGTTTGCTGGACTTTGATGGCGATGGCCGCCCCTCCCCTGTAATAGGGGCCTGATTGTGGCTCTGGGCTCGGGATTCAGTCTGGGGTGTACAGTGTAGTAAGGGCTGAAGAGTGAAAGGGCTGAGTCGAGGGTGTATAGTGTATGGGCGGAAGAGCTTTGGTGAAGCCCAAAATCTGAAATGACTCCTAGAACCCGAGACCAAAACTCCGGAGTTGTATCTTTTTAGGGTTTGGGCTGTTCTGCCCTTTTTCTCGTGAAAGCTCCTTACATTTTAATTAAGACTGAACAATGATAAGGGAAAGGTTAACTTGTGTTACATAAGGCGGTTGTATACTGAGGAGCCCTTTATAAACCCTGAACCCGAAACCGGCTGAGGCATCTATCGGGATCGCTTCTTGATCCTCTGTGATGCTCTTCCACGGAGTGCGGAGATCTTCGCGTTAGCAGCCGCTTTTGCTTCAATGCCAGTGTAAGCGTCTTTGGGGTTTCAGCTCTGAAAATTTCTTAGAGTGAAGGGTTTGGGGGCGAACAATGAAGATCTGCAACCCACCCATTTCCTGTTGCAACATTGGCATGTCTCTAGCATCCCCTTGTGCGTCAAGGCTTGGGAGTTAGATCTGAGGGTTGATGTTGGGTCAGCTTTCAGGGTTTGATAACCAGGCATTTCAATGTATACTTGTCAAAGATGGATTTGTTAAGTTTCTGAACACCCTACTTGCTCCTTGTGTGGGGTTGGATTGTCTCTCCTGCTCATGACCCTACACCCCGAAGCCCAAACAACCGAAAAGCTACTTTTTGAGGATCTGTCGCAGCATCTGGTGAAGACTTACGGCAGTCTTCCTGATGCGCAGCTTTGCCGGCAACAAGGTTTTTGGGGAACTCAGCGGAGCTTCTGAAACTGAAGGGAGTCCCGGAATTTACACAGCCTTCCACAAGTCTGCATGCTACTGCTATAAGGTTTCAGCCAAGTAAATCTTCCGAAGGCCTTTGTGGCACTTCAAACAGCCTTACCAGGGCATGTTGGCAATAAGGGTGCTGTGCTACTGAGCGGCTCTTTGTTTGCAACGCCATGCAACTGGGCGAGGCTTGTGTTTGTAGCCTCGCGACAGACAGAATCCCGAACTGAATCTTCGTGAACCCCGGAATTGCAGCATCTGTCATCCGAAGGATTTTGCAAGTGGCAGACACTCGCATGGTAGATTGGGCTTTAACCGATATGATTGCCGCAACACTGCCAGCAATGGACGATGTGTCTGAAGCCGAAAACCTTCTAAACCCCACAACAGTGGACCATGACCTGAACACTAAGCCTGCAACCGTGGACGATGTGAGGTACGCGGCATTCGCAAACGTATCCGGCGAAGATGTGTCACCAAGCAACAAGAAGGTGGCCTGCCCACCCCTCCAACTCCTTTCTTGGACCCTGAAGTTGGTTCACGAGTCGATCCGTGAAGCTTGAGCTCATAGCCCTAAACGTCTTGGTCCACGAACCTTCAGCAATATGTAGGCTTCACTCGTGGCTGCTCAGAATCATAAACCCTCAAAGTCCCTGTCTAGCAATACTGTAATTGCATGAATATGCCATAGGCTCCATTGTAGTTCCTTTTGGGGGCTACCTTTATAGGATCCCAAATACAAACCACAACGAGAAAC